ATTGGTTTAAGGAATTTATGCAAAATATTTCCGAAACCAATCACAGGCTTCGGGCCCCGTATGCCTCGTTTGGCCCAATAGTCAAAGTTTCGCGTAAAGTATCTGTTAATAAATTATTACAATTAAAGCATCCACCTTGAAATTTTGTAAATACTGTGAATTTACCTGTATACAATGTATAATATACATAGAACTATAATAATCCACAAATCATATACTACCTGTATAGATTTAATATTGTTAAACATTTTTTGAAGTTATCAAAAATGTAGTCTCTGTTAAATCACTGCCATTAATATAATTAAATGTGAAATTGAAGTTTGCAAAATATATATATGGGAATTAAAATTTACTGTATGTTAACAATTTCTTATAATTATTTTTGTTTTAATTTTTATTTTTCAATTTTTATAATTTTTAAACATTACATCAGCCCGCAGTAATTTATTTAAATGATAGTTGTCATCATAAGTTACTATAAGTTTTTGTTTGTTTTTATTTTTATTATTTTATCATTTAGTTGTCAATTTAATTTCAAAAATACGGTACTGTATTATATCAAAATATAATGTAATTCAATATTTTAATAACACAAACTAGAATTTCATTATAAACAATAAGATTAAATTTAATAACATTAGCGTAATACCATTAAAATTTAATAGCTTATTTTGAAATTTTATTTTTATTTTTAATTCTGCAAGTAATTTTATTTTTATTTGCTTTAAGCAATTTATAAAACCATTATAATTGCTGTGTTTTACGTAGGCTTACGATTTCAAACTTAAAAGGTAATAGGCCATTGTAATTTTTTTCAACTAAAACTTGTATAGAAATAATTTTAACATATTGCAAATAAGTTTGGTAGGGTGAGCCGTGCCAATAGAACCTGGTTGAATTTATATGAATTTTTTATTATCTAATTATTTTCTATATGTTCTGTATATAAAGCAATATTCTTATGTTTTAATTACTATTTCATTCATGAATTCTATAATAAAATCATAATAAACGTGCCTTTCCTCCCGGTGCTATTAGTTACCAGTGTGGTCTCAGAAATAAGTTCATTCTCACAGGTAGTAAATTTACTAAGATGCAATTTGAATAAAACAATCTTCCATTATAAATACATACAGTAATAAATATGGTAAATAAAAAAAAGTGAAATACCATGATTAATAAATGAAATAAAATTTACTGGTTACAACTTTTAAGAATGTTTTGAATTTATATTATTTTTAGTTTCAAATCCAATTATAAACAACAAACTTATTTCACTTTTTGTTGCACTCGTTTGCCGTGTTTTGATGGCAACACACTATTCAATAGGTTTTGTGTGAACGCTGTTAACGGCATATCAATAGCCATTGTTAACGGCATGCACATCATGTATACCACTATTATAAATAGAACCCAGATACTTAAAACATTCACCATGTTAGCCGCGTTCAGTATCAATAACCGTTTCGGTATAATTGGAAAAAGTATCAAGGCGATAATCAAGTGAAACAGATATACAGTGGTTTGAGTTAATCTCAAAGTTTTCCATAGGCTTAGGGATAGGAACCGATTGATAGGACTGGTATTGTGCACCGATAGCCATACGAGTGCATAGCATATGAGCAACGATTGTAGGAAACCGCTGACCGAGTACTCAAATGCCGTGAATACCGGTGCGAAGTGACCAAAAAGGGTCGTCTTTACAAAGGTTGCCGAAGTTATGAGGACCCAAAACAGAGCCAATGGTTTGACACATGTTTTGACGTAAATATTATCATATATTTGGCGGACATCTGAAGTGGTTTCCATTAAATAGCCTAATAGTAGGCCATTCAGATAGGATGTGCCGTAATGGTAAGGCTTGACGTGCAGTAGATTAGCAACGGAATTGGTTTTCCTTAATTGAATAGGAAATATACAATGATTTAATATGAACAGGGTAAATAAAAAATAATTATACTTCTACTTTACTTACAGAAACCCATTAAACAGATTGTTGGTGGGTACTAAATCATGGGCTGACATTTGTGCCACAAAACCATTTGAGTAAAACGTATAGAACTCAATGACCATGAACATTATGTGTCCCATGATTATTGCCCTTAGTCCATTTCGATAATTCCTATTTATATAGATTATATAAATTAGATTAGATTATATAATATATAAATTAATATAGATTTTAACTTTTAACTACTTAATTATTATATTACTGTATTAAAAATTTTCAGTGTATAACGAACCCTCATTTGGATTTGTGAACTCAATTCTTACTTGATCATTATTATCATAAATGCCGGTGCTATGAATGTTAGCTGTAGTATGACAGGATTTGACCAGGACCATAACATACACTATTGACAAGTAATAATGAACTATCAATTATATTTATATTATAAAACTATTAATATCCAGGTCATACCATTTGGTCGGATGAGATATAGTTGGATACAAACAATACATTTGTAATCCAATTGCTATTACAGGCGCTGACAACAGTTGTGTCGTAAAACATATCGCTTATGAGATATTTAA